CCAAAACTGTACACACGCTTTAATCAAGCTCAATGATGAACTTTTCCTTAAATACCTTCGTTATTTCACTCTTGAATTACGATCCATCTTAATCTACTTATCTCTAAATGAGATAACGAGCGTTGAAAAACCATTGCAACTTTTTTTTCATCGCATCACACGGCAAAGCGGTGTTCATTTTCTCCTCCGTGCACCTTTATCAAAATCAATGCTCGCCCTCGTATAACTCGAAACTCGTGCAAATTTCCAGAATTGGATTTCCCGTTTTATTCCTCGGCTCAATCCGTTACATACGACGATTGGTTCAATCAACGCGTGTGCGAAAAAATACGCGCACAATCCGACAGCAGACCAGAGAGCCTGTCGATAATTGTCTGTAATTGGCACGCGTTCAATTTCGGAATCATCATCTGCAATCGTGCGTTATACAACGATATTGTATAATCCCAGGAAACAAGCGTGGGAGCGTTCAAGAAGAATGCTCGTTTGCTCGAACCTGAGGATGCGCTCGTCCTCATCTTGAATTTCGTTCCCAGAGATAAAAATTCCCGAAACGTTTCGTGAAACGCGGATTCGAAGATCGCATCCAAATTTCGCCAGAGAAAGGCGATAAGCGAACGAACAAGCAGCTCGAATATCTTTTTGACATTTGGCGGTTTTTTAAAAAGAGAAAACGTGGAATGATACAAAAAGGGGTTGGAATAATAGTGGAATTTATATAACTGTTATATGATGGTGGGAATTAGATAATTGAGGTAATTTTATCGTTTTTTTTCTTTCGTGGTGAGGGAAAAGAGTTGAACTTTTGCTCGTTAAAATAATTATTATCACTTGTGTGTGTGTTAATTGGAGAAAATTGTATAATGGAAATTAGATGCTCGCGTGTAGGGAAAAGGAAAATATTTATTCGTTAAGAAGAATTTTTACTGTTAATTAAAAAATTATAAATATTGTTTTGGAATTGTACGGAGAAGAATGGAAAAGGAGAAGTTTGGAAAATTTTTCGGAAATGAAGATTTCTAAGTTCGATTTATCGTTTATACAATTTTAAATTTCAACAATCATTTGTATCTGTCTGTGGAACGATATTGGACAGATTTAATAAATGGTTCTTTTTCGTTATATATTTTTCAATCGTAAATGAAACGTCAGGATTTTACTAGTTAAATAATATTAGTTGAAACATCATGATTTTTTTATTACATGAAATATCCTCTTTTTAGTGCGTCTTTTATAAGTTGGAACATAATATTGAGAATTCCTTAAATGCATTTGATGTTATGAAATTGCAATATGGATCAACAATTGTACGTATCATATTTCCGTGCATTAACAAGCACGATTGTTCGTTTACACAGAAAATTTCTTCCACTTTTTCCTCTTCCTCATTTTCCACAAAATAAAAACTAGATACTATCCTTATACTCCAAGTTTCTTATTACCTTGCGTGTTGCCTCAACGAACAATGAAAACATTCTTCACAAACAATCCCAACTGATATTGTGTATCAAGCATAATTTTCATAGTTTATCACGAATCCAATTTTTTTTTTCTTCGTGTCGTGTCAAAATAAAATTAAATGTCAACGAAAGAAATCTCGGATTATTGCTTCACTTTGTATATTGAATTCATTATTGTTCGACTAATAGTGATTTATAAATTTTCAAACAAAATCGCATTATATCGTCATATCTTTTCAAAAACTTTTAAAACTTCCAAAATATACTATCCACCAAATTTCTTAATTAATAATACACCCAAAGATGCAAACAAAAAAAATGAAAACTACACACAACAATTCTACAAACATTTACATAAATTACACTTAAATTAATTCTTTTCTTCGCATCTCCACAATGTTACAATCCAATATTTATGACATCACTCTTTTCCACTACACTACTCTTCTTTCTATCTTAACCAACATTTACAGGCTACTATTAATTACACTTAAATTAATTCTTTTCTTCTTCTCTCCAAGTCCAATGTTGCAATCCAATATTTATGACATCACTCTTTTCCACTACACTACTCTTCTTTCTATCTTAACCAACATTTACAGGCTACTATTAATTACACTTAAATTAATTCTTTTCTTCTTCTTTCTACAAGTCCAATGTTGCAATCCAATATTTATGACATCACTCTTTTCCACTACACTACTCTTCTTTCTATCTTAACCAACATTTACAGGCTACTATTAATTACACTTAAATTAATTCTTTTCTTCTTCTTTCTACAAGTCCAATGTTGCAATCCAATATTTATGACATCACTCTTTTCCACTACACTACTCTTCTTTCTATCTTAACATTCACACGCTACTATTATCCACAATTTTCCAGCGCATAGTCAATCGAGGCTGAGTATTATCACACTTTCCAGTAACAAAGAAAACTTTCGTGTTGGCGGGGGGCAATCAAAGGGATAAATCGCGCGAGGAAGCTTGTCTCGGTCGTTAAGTCGTTCCCAATGGCGCGACTGCGAATCCTTGGGGGCCATAGCGATTATCCGTCCACGGAATACGTGACCGAGATAAGAGATAACGAACGGCCGGTCGGCCGTTCCAAGGACGGCCACGCGCTCCTCCAAGCGGTTACCATTTCGCCGCCATTTGCATAGACGCCACTCGGTCTGCGAGCAAGGATCGGCCACAATCGGGCTATTATCGTTTGTATTCATGCCCGAATCCTTAGGGGAGTTAAATCACCGAGCGGCGATGACGATTCGCTCGTGAGCCTGATTTATTCTTGGAAAAGGAAGAATCTTGAATCCTCGTGTACGTATTAAGCTCGATTATTAATTCTTCAAGTGTTTGAGAAATGTGATAGAATGATACGAATAATTTTAAAATCTAATTATTTCGTATATGCATAAAGAATAATTAAATACGATTTCTCAGTCAGGATGATATCATAAATATAACGTTAATTATTTACGCAATGAATTAAAATATAACGATGATATATAAAACAAGATAATTGATTAATATTGTTTAATAATTGTTAACCGAAAGTTTGAATAATTCTTGAACTCACTTGAAGTGATTTTCGGAGGATAATTTCTCCACACTTCGTCCGACTACTTTCCAGAGCATCCCTCGAAAGGAGTTTCCGATATTCCGATATTCTCGATTTCTTTGAGAAACTGCTTCGAAATTGGGTCACGGATGCGGATTTAATTGTCATATCGATTTTCAAATTAAGTGGATCAAGGAGGGAGATCCAGTTAAAAATATCCGTAAACGAAAAAACGCGTTCGATCCGTTCTCTGCTAATTCGAGACGAGTTCGAGTTTAAAGCGGGGCATCCCCATTCGAAAATTTCAAACCGAATCAGTCAGTCCTCATCGAAGCGGGATCGTCCGTTTCCTCGTGTTTTCTCCCTCCCCCTTGCGCGTTTCTATTTGTCGAAAACTCCTGAACACCCCGGAGAATTTTCGCGAGTTTAAAGTCGCGATACTTTAATTAATTCAGAGCGCGATTTTTCGTTTTCTGCTCCAGGGACGATGGAATGTAGGACGGGGAGCATTGACACGAAAGTACATACAATAACACACGAGAAATTGTTTAGCTTTTCTCTCTCCGTCTCTTTGGATTTTTCAGGGACAGTTTTCGTTAAAAAAATTTCCATCACTTGTTATATCTTCTTTCTGCCTGCTTCGTAAATTGTGTTGATTTTTAAGGTCTTGGAAGGGTTACTTTATCTTAAGAATTGACACACAGGGCGTATCCAAAGATTAGATTTTTCGGATACGATTTCGAGACGATAATATAATTTGCGATTAAAACGGGCAGGATTGATAGTTGATTTAAAACTGGCGTATTCGCTCGAGACTGTACAGCCCGTTGTGAAATTGGCTTTGCAACTTTCGCCCAGTGACTTATAACTTTGTTAACGGGCGGAAGTTTTCTCGACGTTACTTCGACGCAATTTCGTTGTTCCTCTTGTAATACTTCTGGAAATGGCCAGCCCTTGTAGCGAGACCAATAACTGAAACACGTTTCTTCGATTCGATAGTAATTAATTCTTGCTTGCTAACAATGCTCGTTTTTGCGGATAAATTTTTGACAGAGAAAAAAATAAAAGGTGGAAAACGTAATTTTTCAATCCCGACGGTGATTAGGGAACGAAGGGAGAATATTTATTGAACGCATAGAATTACAAAGATTTTTATGGAAGATTTATCTCATTTCCTTCAAAATAAGGTTCATATTGCTCGTTACTGTTTTTCCTCACTTAGAAGATCCAATTCCAACTTTTCTTATATCTTTCACAATTTCCCCGTGTTTTTCACTTATAGAATAACGTAATAAGATGCTGCACAGTTAGTTGTTGATCGCATTACGGTTGATGACGGGAGTAATTTCTTCGAAACATTTCTTGCTCGACGAGTTGAAACAGATTGGAATTTTCAACGCGATTAAAATCCACGAGTTACTAATAAGTGTTAATTATCATTTTAATCTCGTCTTACGACGGCACAAATGCCAATCATCTTCCCTGACGACATTTATTAATTTTCCAAGTAAGATAGACACCACGGTTTAATCCTTTCCCCGTTAACAGCGGTGACGTCTTCTTGTAGTGAGCATTTCGCGATATTCTTCCACGTATCCCATAAATTTTCACACTCAGTTCGAATCGGAATGGAAATGAAATATTCATATGGGTAACGTAACTTGCGTAGCGAGAAAGATTTATCGTGTCTTATAATTTGACCGCATCTTCAAATCTTCGATTAACACACAGAAAATATGTCACATTACGTAAAACGTGTTAAATGACAACAACGGATCATTAACGTTCACAAATAATAATAAAACCTTGACTTCTCGTATAAAAAACACGGGAATCGATTAACAATTTTGTCATCAAAACCTATTCAGGAAACAAGGGAAACCATGCCGTTGAAGTCCCTTTTTGGTTTATCCCGATATCTCGATCCGTTGCGGAGATATAAGGACTCAAAGCGTCCATAGCGTTCAACATAGCGCGAAAATTATGAATGGACTCGTGACCTACATTTTTTCCTGGAAACGCGTACTACGTTTTTCTAGGAATCGCGTCTGCCGCTTGTCGGCAGTTTGGGATAGGTCAGGGAGACGAGGTGCGAGCGAGAGTTCCGAATAAACGACGAGGAAGGAGATAGTAAACGATTAAAAATTACCCTTTCCTTTACACGACGATATCTCGGCAACCGGAAGTCGTATCGGGATAAACGAAAAAGGGTTTCAAAGAGCAAGGTTTCCCGCTTATAATGGCCTTCCGTTCGTTGACCGGAAGTCGCTATCTTTCGAGTTACGTCGGCTCAAAGTTTTCCTAATTTTAATAGAGTTTAAAAATTACCCTTTGCTTCGAACGACGATATCGCGGGAACCGGAAGTCGTATCGAGATAAATAAAAAAAGGTTTCAAAGAGCAAGATTCCCCGCTTCTAACGATCTTTCATTCGTTGACCGGAAGCCACTATCTTCCGAGTTATAGCGTTTCAAAGTTTTCCTAATTTTAATCGAGTTTAAATGATTAAAAATGATTACTTTTTTTTTTTTCGGAGTAAATGAAAAGAGAAATTTCAAAAGTTCTCCGATTTTATTAATCTTCCATCCATTGGGAATCACTGTGATTCAAAGTTTTTGTAATTTGAATATATGACAGCATTTTAAATTACGCGATAAATATGTTCGTTTCTGGAAGAATATGATCGTT